GTAGCTAGTACAGCTAGTTACTGTTGGGCTAACTGTTATATATCTGTTTTTATTGTTAATCTTGTGAACTGTTTACTACCTACTTCATAAACAATCAATGTTGTATGAGGGACAATACAACTAATTTGATAGTTCAGTTTTTTAAAATCTAGTTTCCTAGTTTAGATATTTTATTTAGGTGTTTATGAGTCGACAGTCATAATAATATTCATACACCATTGTTTCTTTTCGAAGAATGGGGAGCAGAGCAAGAGAAAGCAGGATAAGGTTGCCAGCATTAATAATGAAATAGAAAATAATGCAGAAGGATAGAAGGACTCGGGATATTTTCTGACATTTGAAATAAATAACTCAACAACAATAAAGCAAACAGGAGGTGAGAAAGCGAGAGGAAAAAAGAGAATCTAGCTTCCTTGATACTGCAGCAACTATTTTTGTTATTGATTGTTTCAGTCTTTTTTCAAGCAAAAATGCAAAGATTGTAATGGTTGCAGGTTCTAAATTTATGGGAATTTTCTCCGTTTCATGGTCTTAAATTAAACTGAATATCTTTGAGTTTTGGACTGTAGTTTAGACGAGAGTCTGGGACACTGGGATGGACATTTTTCACAGTTTTGTGACGTTTTAGTGGCCGAGCGATTAATCAAGAAATTAATGAGCAGATTAATTGTTCACTGCAGCCCTGGTACACTAACTCATTTTTACAATTTCATTGGTGTAACTCTTGTTTTGTGGTATCTAATCTTTTCCTGATTTTTAATCACTGTGATGTGATTTTCTTTTTTTTTTTAACCCAATACTGTTTCACAATTGTTTCCAGTAAAAACGTCAGACGCCAACATTGGAAGTGTGTTTATCTCATGCAGCAATAAGCTTACATGCATACCGAGGTCAGAAGATTTTGAGAATCATGTTCGAGCGGCGCTTTGCAGAACATGCACAGCGTGTTTTCGTCCTTTCACCGGCCCATCCCTGTTCTGTTCAGTCCCCCTTCTCTCTCCCCATCTCCTCCTCCCTTCTTCTGATTCATTAGCAGGACTCGGAGCCCTCCTGCCCTCTTTTACTGCCTCCATTAAATCCTTGCTCTCTCCATTGCAACTCTCCATGGATAGCGAGTGCGTCAGTTCATCATCCGAGCTAAGAGCCGCAGCCGTGTACTCTACATTTTTCATCCTACCCACTTTATCTTTAGTTAGGCCCAGCCCAGCCCAGCCCAGCTCAGCTCAGCTCTTTGTCACTCTGAAACGCATTAATGAAATGTAAATTCAATTTTGTATAATGCTTGTGAACCTGTGATTAACCGTTGGAGAGATACACTTTATCAGGAACTCGTATAACAAGTTTATCTTTCCTTACTGTATAAACTGAAAAAAATATTTTTTATTTTATATTATATAACTGTATTTGTAAATACACACTGACTAAAGCGAATAATGAAGTGGGACTACAGCTAATAAAATGCCCTATAAACATCAACTGAGGAGCAGTAAATGTGCATTATTACCCATTTAATTTCAACTGTTGGGAGTGACTAATGGTTGGAAGTCCTTGTGCAGAGAGACTAATCAAAGCTTAAAAGTAAAATACTGCCGGGTCAGTCATTAAAGGCCCATTGGAGGAGGATCTACTGGCAGCAAATCAGTATAATATTCATAGGTATGTTTTCATTAGTGTATAATCACCTGAAATAAAGAGTTTTTGTTACCTTAGAAGAAGCTGTTTTTATCTACAGAGGGAGAGGGTCCTTCTCCACAGAGTCCGCCATGTTGAACCGCCATGTTTCTACATTATTTGTGTTTTTTTGCCAGTTGCGTGGCCTATGTACATTTCTCCTACACACTGGTCCTTAACAAACTTGCTGAAACAGATACAATTTTATTTTAAATTCTAGTTTCCAAAAATGTGGCCTAAACATTTCACAGTTAATGTCGTATAGCTTCAGTGAAATAGTCTGAACAAGTCAATGCAGAGTCTGTGTATGATACTGTCAGACAGTGTAAAATCCATTGATTTTAAAAACCATGAAACAACTTAAAGGAGCAGTTTGTAGGAGGAGTGTTTGGTTTGTCCATTCGGGGCTACAGTAGAAACATGGTGGACTCCACAGGTGCTTTTCATTATGCTAACGTGTCTCCTTGTTTTCCTCACTCACCTCCTTTCCTAACGTCTTAGCTCCTCCTAAGAACAATTTTAAAACCTTACAGAATTCATTTAGATATGTAAATTGTTTATTATTGACCATTTTAGCAGGATCATTTAATATTCATTTCAGATCAGTGTTATTTGTTAGGATTAATTTGGTTATGTAGACTATTTACTTGCATTATTGTTATCTGAACAATAATACACCACCATAAATTAAATCATGCCAAACATACAAACGGAGGTGTGGTATTTTGAGATCAGGCCTCTTGATAAAAGACTTCTGCGTAGGATTCACTGGCGTCTCTTCACTCTCATCTCTTCCAGGTGCATTTAAGAAATTGGAAGATCCTTCATGATGACGGAGGGGGAAAAGATTTCACAGGAGGAGAGAGGATGCAAGGAAGCTGCAAGTTAGTGTAATGAAAAGCAGCCCATGGAAAACATTCCTTTATTCAGGTGATTACACACTAAAGAAAACATACTTATACTAAATAATAACTACCTCCCATTTTAAATACAGTGTTTCCTTAATGTTTAGACACTGGGATATTTTAAGCTCTGTAACAACCTTGCAGTGTTATTGCTGTAACCTCACGTAACCTGTTCAAACAAATTGAATCCTTCCTGCAAAGGCAAATACCCAGAGGAGCTTGATGCTGCTGTGAGAGGTGAACCAGAGTCGTGTTGAGAGGACGGAGGTCAGGTCAGGCCATGTGGAGGCCTGAACCCCCCCCCGAGATGGATATAAGGCCACATACGGGACGCTGGATTATCTTCTTATCTCTGTCTTTGTAATTGCTGTGGGTTTCTGGGGGCACGATGGTAATGGTGGACAATAGGCACGGTCAGAGGAGAGTAATTGAAATGCCTTCAGCCTTCTCTTGTTCTTAATGGGATAAGTCACACTGCCTTGTGTCCAAGGTGAGGTGAAGGTGAGTTTGACCCCTAGTTGATCATTTTATTTTGTCCGAGTGGGACAATCCTGATATTTTTCATTATTAAATCCAGTTTAGTCATATTAATGTCAATGTGAGTCATATTTACTCTCCTTTTTAATCCAATATTCTTTAACTTTGTCTGTAACATTAAGATGAGTGGGTCAATATGCTTTTTTTCCAGGGGCCAACCCATGTCAGAAGCTAATAAGTTGAATTTAAAGGGTAATGGAAAATTCCATTTTGTTAGACAGCCTTATGTTGTATATTGATGAATGAATGAATGATTTAGGAGGATCTATTAGCTAGACAGATAGGGGCGATGGCGTTTCATGGCCACCGTAGTTTTCTCCCTTGCGCTCAGAAAGGAAGGGTGGCTTAAACTGACACAAAAAAGGGGCATCAGTGATGCCACTATAACAACTACTAAGCTTTCCCCGTCAACAGGTTTATCTCCATGACAACAGAGCAAACTCCATCCCTGTATATCTGTATTCAGACCCATGTAGGGACTCATGTTGCAGACTTAACTCAGGCTATAAATGTTGTGGTATGTGGCAGTGGTCCATGTTCTTGTCGCTACAAAAATTAACATTAAATAAATAAATACATATTTTTAACCTATTAGTGCATCTTAAAGACAAATTTCCAGGTTTGTGATGGAAAATAACATTTTTACTGGTAAAGATAACTACAATAATAGATTACACAATGTATAATTGTAAATAAATGTAAAAAGGCTTATATGTCTGACTGAATTACAGCAGATTTATGTGTTGTCCAGCCATAAACTCACCCTGTGTCAGAGTAATAAATGATTATGGACATGCACAAGAACATCAAGCCTCACTCTAATAAACCTACATGAGGGAGAAAAAGCAGGATCCAAATATAAACAAAGTGGTTTCTTTGTTGTATCTGACCGTGAGCTGAAACCACACAGCCGCTGGTAATGGCTGAGTGAAAGCGATCTGGCTGTACTCTGTGGTGACTCGTACCATGTAATGAAAGTGTAATCACAACACTACAAATGAGCTGAAATTACAGAAACTAATGGGAATATTAAAACTCTTCCACCCAGCTTGGCTCTTTACTCGCTTTGATTCCCTTCAAGAAAACATCTCCACTTCCGAATCATGTTCCAGCTCATTAACATTTTACAAATGTAAAAACAATGTTTTCTTTTTAGAGTTGGGTCGATTGTTGAAGCACAAGCTGCTATCACAAGACTGTATAAATGACTAGTGCTAATGAAGTCTTATCAATCAGTTAAAGCTAGTTTAATTTATTAAATTAGTTAGTAAACCATGTAAAGCTGTTGTTAGGAACCATTACCATTACACCTGGTAGTTCGTATGTAATTCTTCTAACCTCCACATGAGAACTAGTTTGTGGTGCAGTATTTATTTAGTAAATCAGTTACCAAACACTTAATCCAGGCTAAGTTTAAACATATGAGGAGCTAGTGCTCTAGCTGAATTGTACACATCCCCTTTGCCTTTTGCACATTCATCACCGCAGTGACCTTTTCCTTCTGTGTGAGGAGGCAGAGGGACGAATGCCTCTATGGACCCCGAGGCCTTATATAGTATGCAAGTTCATACCCTTACCTGGGAACAAATGTCAGGTTTTCAAAGTGAAGATTTATGTTTTTCTCTTCAAAAACTTGAACCAAAACTGCACACATTGATCAGCGTGAACGCCTGCCATGATTCGACGCTCTCCATCTCTTCTCTGCAGTGACTGTTGTTTGACCACCAGATCCCCTCCTGACAGCACTGCAAGCTGACAAACATCACTGACTCTATTCTGCACACAAACAACTCACTTCAAATCAACATCAAAGTGCAGGCCGGTTATTACAAATATAAATCTCAAAGAGAGAGAGAGAAAAAAAAAACAGGTTAAATAAATTTTATTGATTTGTTTTTACTTCCCACTCATGAAACTGACCACAGTGTTTCTGACAGGAATTCGATTGTTCAGTGACACCTTTTATCCTGGTGGTTTAATGCTCCACCGCATCCAATCAGCTGGGATTAAGCTTTATTTGACCCAGCAGAAGTATCCTGGTAGGCAACTTCACAGCGGCCTTAATGTAATGAAAGTTGTTGTTTCATTTAAAGGAAAAAAAAATGCCTAAAGCACAAGTTTGAAATACAACTCTCTTCCACTACACTGACATTTGTGCTGACACACTCACTGTGACCTTTACAGGTAATTGGCTTTTTCCCCCCTGTACAATAACAAGACCCCTACCAATGTCATTAAAATGCCCACTATGTAATTCAGTATATCAATGTACAGTATATCTTGTACTCTTTGAAGAGTAATTTAACCCTAAAGACACTTGAGTAAGTAAATTTCACGTACAGTAACTTTATTACACTATCAATTGATCCTGATTGCATTTTATAGTGTTTATTTGAACAAAGGCTATTCTCTGGAGAGAGAGAGAGAGAGAGAGAGAGAGAGAGAGAGAGAGAGAGAGAAATAAGTCTATCCACTTGAACCCCCCCAAAAAATCTGGGGAAAATCTTCGATGTAGCTGGGACACACAACAACAACACAACAAAGGCAATGTTACATTCACATATAAACAGCAGTCAGCTGTCAGCAGGGTAGACAGTACAGAGTATAAAGACTGAGAGATAATAGTAGTGGAATCACTACAGGAGTAGAAATACTTGCTGTGTTGACCAGCTACCCCTCATTCCCTGTTCGGACACTCTCGTCTGCTACTTCTGCTACACCCTCGCTAGGCTAAGCTATAAGGGGATGCATGCATTTTTGGAAAATGTAAAGGGGGGGCAGTTAAAACAGTAACCCAGTACATACTGCAGACAAGGAAAAAACCCTAAAGGCTCAGTCATTATGCATTAAACATAAAATGGGGTGAAGTGAATTTGCATAAATCTTTCTTGTCAAGTTCTTCTTTTCTTTTGTTTTACTTTGTCCTGCGGATTTACGCCATTGTTCAATATCAGGTCATCTTGACAGTCAAAACATGGAGGAACATCCACTCTGTTATATATGAGTATAAACTTCTTCAGAAGAGATGAATAGTTTGCAGACCGTTACAGAGACTGTTACATATTGTCCCATTAGCGACCAAGCTAATTAGCTGGTGTACTTAAAACTAACTAGGCTGGAGAACTTTATGTTTCTTTACTGGGTCACTTTCTGGTGTCACTTGGCCTGTTACAATATAAATAAAAGAAAATACATATTATCATTATAAGTTTTGGTGTATGTGATAATTTGATTACTGTAAACACAAATGTATTTAGGAATATGTGCTGCGTCTTAAAACTGTATTTTATACTTATAACCCAGGCTGCAGCAGCAAGTACTCAGCCCCGACAGCCCTGATATATGGGGTGCACGCTCCACCAGGCGAGCCACCAGCGCGCTCCTTAAAACTATATTTTGACACAGAGCCCCTAAGTTAAAAGGAGCCTTTAGGTCCTCATCATTCAGTTGAAAATCGCTCAGTAGCTTTGACTTCAGTGACAGTTATTATAGGTTGCTCTGCAGTGCAAACTCAACTCTAACAACTACAGTTACTCTCATAACAAACAAACTTTCTGGAAGTTAGATGACAGAGACCAGCTGCTGGAAATGATGGGAAATATAAAGACACACATCCTGACAGAAGTTCAATAAGTGAGCGCATTTTTGCTGACAGAATATTGACGTCCAACAGAACCCCCCGCTCAAAGCCACGAGGCTGGGAGTAATGGCGAGGAACACAAAACTATCATTATCTGTTGCCGACGGTGCCGTATTGTCATCTACGACTCCTGCGATGGATTACTCAACAAAAACACTGAGATCACTGTTCACACAAACATCGGATGCAGATTACAGATCGCCCTGAGAGTCTTTAACCTCAGTTTGAGCTGAAGAGATATTGATTAATGTTGTTTTTCACCAACACTTGATTTCTTGTTTTTACCTCACTGTACCCAACATGTGTTAACATTTTTCACAGCTTTCCACATTGTTAAATTACTTTCTTATATTCTTATGGGTGTTTAGGTATACTCATTGTAACATCACTCAAAGTGTCAGTATAGCAAGCAATGATCGTTACCAGGCTCCATTATCATTTCCTGGCACACATAGTTCATTTTTACAGCCAATACTTCAGCAACATATTCCCTCATTAGCTCTCTTTAGTTTGTTATTGCAGTGGTTTACAACTTGTCTGGCTTATGAATCCTTAAAATTAAGCAAATTATGATCACAGGTTATGGCTTCAGTGTTGACAAGATTTATTAGCAGTTCAATTATTTTTTCTTTTTCAGATTACTTAATTTGGAAAATGTATTTGAAGAAGGTGCAGAAAGTAGTGTTTTTTTTACAAAAAAGAGCAATAATTAGAGAAAAGTCAAACAAATAATATAATTTTGAGTGATAGACATTTTTTATCCCTTTATTTATCTAGTGACCCCTCAGATGTTTGTTTTTTTAACAAACAGATCCAGTTTTTTCTATGTAACGATTGCATTCAGTCATCTGTAAAGCCACTGTCAGGTACTTCTGTGTGTATTATCAGGTGCAGTTTTTACTGAAATCAATACTTGTCTCTTCCAATACGTTTGTCGTTACACTAAATGGCAGCTGACAAAGGCCATTAGCAGAAAGTGTGAAGTAAGCAATATGCTAATACGCTCTGTGACACAGGAAGCCCAGTGGTCGAAACTCATTTATTACTATTAACAAATAATCAGACAGTAATGGGCTTATCTGTTAAGTTTAGGCTGCAGTTCGTCTTTATACAACCAGCACTGGAGTACGAATTGTGCATCGGTGTAGAAACCAACCTCCTCAACTCAACAGCTAGCACCTATTTTCTGTCATTTAAACAGGTTTCATCCACTGAACTGCCAGTAAAATTCAGCCAGTGGATTAAAAAAAAAACCCATCTGCACTCCAAATAAAAAATAAATGGTTTTAAGTAACATTTGTGAGTGTTTAGCTCTGAGAGTAGATGCTTCTGGTCAAGTGCATATGGTCAACACCTTTGAGACCCCTGTAGCGATCTTTTACATCTCTTGCTCTAGAAGGACAGCGGCTCATCCAACCAGAGATTATAGCAGGGGACAGGAAATCAATACTTTCAGGAACAGAAGGTAAGGAAAGTTTCCTCTACAGTTTCAGTGCATTAAACGACATGGTTGATGATTTCCATTTCGATTTTAGTGTCGTTTTAGCCAGGAAGTATTGCCATTGCAGTATTTTGCACATATGGCCGTAAATAAATGCACCGAACCTGGAACTGGAAACCTTATCTGAATGAGTGGTACGACTGACTGTATGCCATGTCACAAACGAGAGGCATATTTCTTCTGATTCACTGAGTTTTATTTCATGTCCACATGAGTTGAGTCACCCAGCATGCCAAAAACAACTGTCCAAAACAAAAAACGTAATAACAATAACCCGGCATATCAGTGCTTTTCATAGTGCTCTGAGAGAGTTGTGTGGCCTCTCTTCATCAGCATCAATAATATTGCATAATTCTACACAACTGTTTATATTACTCTCTTTCAAAAATGCTTGTTGTTGTTCATGCAGGCTGTGTAACATCAGCCAACTTAGAGATCTATAATACCATTCTTAAACATCAAACAGTGTTGTTGTCATTTTAGACTTTTTGCATCCGTTAAATTCTCGGGCTGAACTTTTCAGCGAGCAGACGAATCAATACAGGGCATTACTTTGAAAAAACATTAACATTATAGCCTCCTACATGCATCATTGCAGTTTTCTCAAGCAGAAAATGGGCTTTCAAACCTCTGAGCAAGGTTCAGATAATTCCCTTTAGATTTCCCCGATTTTAGCAACGCTGTATATTTCACAAGCTATTCCCCTTGTAGAAAAAAAACAAAAAACTTCATGGCTACGATATTTCTCTGTCAAATTGCAGGAGGAAGACAGTGGAGGGAGGCAGGGTCAGTGATGGAGCGCTCTGCCCTGAGAGGCACGGAGTGACTTGCAGTCATAAAGGGAGCGACACCGGCGAAGCGGCAGGAATCTCAATTTGCTGCTACATTTTCACAAGTGTCATTATCATACACCTCTATGTCCTGGAGACTTGATGCATCTGTATCGTCCCCTACGCTGCTCTGACTGTTCCTGAAGGCAAACGCTCCTATAAAGGGATACACACTTTCTGTGAACAGGTCTCTGATGTTATAATAAGGGAGTTCTGGGTCTTGTCTTTCAGGCTTAGTGATACACTGTTCCTCCATGGCTTTGTTTCTTTGATAGTACTTTGAAAACTTATTGAAGATGATGGTGATGGGCAGAGCCACCACTAACAGGCCACAGATGATACACAAGGTGGCCACTATCTTCCCCGCCAGCGTCACCGGGCAGGTGTCACCGTAACCGACTGTTGTCATGGTGATCGTGGCCCACCACCAACCTGAAGGGATGGTCCCCAAGTCTGTGTCCTCCTCTTCTTTCTCTGCAAAGTAGATGAGGGCGGAAAAGATAGAAATCCCCACCGAGAGGAAGAGAAGGAGCAGACCCACCTCCTGGTAGCTGTGGCGGACGGTGGCACCCAACGCTCGCAGCCCGATGGAGTGGCGAGCCAGTTTAAGGATTCGGAGAACCCTCATGAGGCGCAGAACCTGCACCACCTTTCCCACGTTCTCTAAGTCCTCGTTCTCCTCTGCAGCCTCCTCGTCGGCTGTTTCCAGAGCTAACGTAGCGTAGAATGGCAAAATGGAGGCAACGTCAATTATGTTCAAAGCGTTTGCGAGGAACTTCCTGCGGGAGGGCGCCACGATCAGCCTGATGATGAACTCGGCGGAGAAGCAAGCAATGCAGATCTCCTCCAGAATGGCGAGGACGGGGTCCTCGATAGGTCTGTCATTGTCGTCCACCTGCTGAAACTCAGGCATACTGTGGACACACATGGCAACGATGGAGGTCAACACCAAGCTGAGGGAGGCCACGGCGATGATCTTTGAACCTCGCGAGTGACCTGGATCCTCCAGCCTGAGCCAAATGTAGCTCCTCAATTCTGCACACCAGGCACCTTTGAACTTGGCCAGGTCCTTATCAAGAGCAGAGAGCTCCTCAAAGGAGGAGTCGAAGCTCGGCTGTTGCTGGTCGTCGCTCCTGATGTCCCAGTCCCTGTCCTCGATGTACTCCTTCCTCTCGTGGTACCAGTTGTTACAGCAGGGGCTCAGGTAGAGCTCCTGGATGCCCCAGTACTCGATCTCCTGGGTGAAGGAGAAGACGCACACCTCCTCCATCATGTGGATGCGTCCCGTGTGGTAGAAGTTGAGCACGCAGAGGAAAACCCGGGGATTCCTGTCGAAGTAGTACTCCTTCTCAGCCGGGCTGTAGTCATCACACAGCTCCAGGATCGCCGCCTCACTTTGGCAGCGCAGCAGACGGGCCAGGCGTGTGTGAGGGAAGCGGAGCAGCGTGTCTGGATCCACTTCATGTCGAACCCCTCCCACGTTGAGGTGGACCTGGTCCTCCTCATTGCCCTGCCGGTGGAGGATATGTCCATACCCCATGGTCCTGATGATGACACAGAGACATTACGAGAAATGAAGTCTATACATTTTTTTATTTTTATGACCAGAAGATGCACCACAAGCACATACAGTCTGGATTATAAGTGGTACATTTATGTGAAGAGATGTCTATTGTATTTGACTGCACTGTTTGTAGAACACATTAGTCCCCTGAAGGAAAAAAAAAATCAATACAGCACACGCAGGAAATGGCTTGAGCTGGAGTGAGTGAAGAGGCGTGAGGTACTGTCACTTCTTTGAGGGCTCAAGCACAGAATTATCACTGGGAGCATCAAATTACAGAGGAGACAAGACAAACTCAGAGGAAATGAGTGGCAACAAGTTGAAACTGAACCCTCAGATCATTTCAAGCAATTATTAAAGGATTGTTAAAATTGTTAAAAGATTTGTTTTCCAGCATTTGTGGATTTCTGTGGAAATGTCCTCATATTTTTTCTTCCAGGCTTTCAGAGCAATGCACTGGTTTTGCATGGAACCAACATTTCTTCACCAAACCCTATTTGAAAATAAGTCTATTACTTTTTTTATTACAAAAACTGAACGCAAAACGTAAAGATGACACATACCTGTACTCGGAGCCTTTCTTTCCATGAAAATAACTTTTATCCGGATGGTTTAGTTTTCACATTCTGGTTAAAAAAAAACGCCGCACACACAGCCGGTCTGTGGAGGGAGTGCGCTGCTGCAGCTTCACGGACGGGACAAGACGAGCTGGAGGCGGGACAGCGGCAGTTTGATCCCTTTTACATCGAGCAGGGAGGGGCGGGAGAGGAAGGGAGGAAGAGGGGAGGAGAGGGAGGGGTGGAGACTGTACACATGGAGAAACACCCTGCGAGAAATGACTGTAGTCGGTTTTATTTTGCCATTTTATTTTTTATATCACGGTATGCCTATAACATCCTTAAATAAAGCTGCAGCTCTGTTGTGCTTAATCTCTGCGATTTATTTGACTTTTTTCGTGATATATGTATGAAATATGCCTGAAATAATTGCAGGCATATTTATTCATTTATTTTTTTGAATTTGCACTTGTATTTTGGAAAACTACTGCAACTAAAGGCAGCTGGCCCACACAGACTGCTCGCTGGAAGGAGTAAAGTAAATTCACACTGACATTTCAGTCCTCTGTGAGAAAGCACTGCTGGCAGGATAACCAGGCATTAACACTGTATTTGGCAGCGATGGGGAAATGCAACATACCTTTATAGTGAGTGCTGTTTGACATGTTGTAATCTATAAAATAATAAGTTTTACAATCCCTCATTGTATCACCTCAATAAAAAAACATCTTTAGTGTCCTCCAGATGTGCTGCTTACAGCATAAAACTATTCCTCCTAAAAGCACCAAACCCTTGTTCTATTTCTGTTCTAGTCCCTAAAATTAATGTGGCATTTTAACATTTCTCTGCCTCATCAGAGAAAACACACATTAGTGCACCTTTTTAGCACAGGGTGTGTTAATTAAAGTTCATTAAAGTTGTGTGCTGTTCTCTACCACAGCCAGGAATGAATTACCAACTGAGAAAAAGGGGGCTCAAAACCTAGACTCAAAGATTCACTGCTTTTGAATTTGTTTTTTTGGTAACTCTGTGGCTTTTTTTTTTGCGCTGTTTAAATACAACAAATTAAACTTAAATCAACTATAGCCGCGCCAATTAAAGCAAGTATTCAAGAGGGGCCCTGTGACAAAATTATTAGTCCATCAACATAAGATCAGTCATTGAATCCTTTAAGTTGTTTATCAAGCAAAAATCCCCCGAACATGATCTCTTCTCTGCTTTTCAGTTTGCTGCCTTTAGTGACATCAAGAACAAGTCTTACACAGGTTAATCCGGCCGGTTATTATTGCACAAAGATGTCAGATCTTCATTTAAGTGGTGAATGTGGAGATCTATAGTGGTTGTGTTTGAAGACAGGAAGGCCTTTTTAAGAATCTTCTCCACTGACTCTGAAAAAGAGATCTTTTCCTGTTGCTTCGGTTGCACGTCATTATTTTAAACATTCTGTACTCTTTTACATTTTTTAAAGAATTGTGATACAAAACCCTCAACCTATTGGTGAGATCGTATCATATCTTCAGATTCAAGTCAGCTAAGAGGACAACCTCTCAGCAGTAAGTTTTAAGTCTCAGTTCAGACGGTGTCCACTCACTTATCCCAATCAGGCTGTAATAGGATCCACCTGTGTGGTGGTTGTGTTTGAGCCTCCCTCAACCTGCTCAAAGGGTCCATAAAAACAGCAAAAACTCTGAGGACTCTGAGATTACCGGTTTCCCATCTCTTGTGCCATGGGTTGCTTAGTTGAACTGGGGTTTGTAGTTTTGTTTTTATCCATTGCTTTCACTCAAAGTTAATTTTCTTTCTTGCCTCTTTGAAAATGATTCAATCTCTTTCAGGTGGTTTGTTCTCCTGATAGCAGTTGTAAATATAGAGGCTCAAAACAAGTCCCCTATAAGTAAGTTATTTCTTCCTAAACATGGGTCTCTTTACAATCACTGTATGCTCCTTTACTAATATAAATGTTTAATTTCAGATATCCAGTCAAAATGCCTGGGAAACGTCATGCGTGTGGATGTTGGTCCGCTTGGAAGTAGTCTTCTTGAAGTCTCCGCTGTCTTGAGTAAGCCGACATTTCTGAATTCGTTGTTTTACTTTTGTCTCACGTTTTCTCTCTAACTGACCCTTTTTCTTCTTCCTCAGATTACTCTGCCATCCTTCTTACACCAAGCTTAGCTTTGCAGTGTGGCTTCAATGTGAAGATAGACCAGCTGGGGAATGCCATGATTTATGCTTCCCTTCAAAACTGTTTTGCTCAAAATGTGGTAACGAGACTGGAAATGTCATTTCTATAGCGTAGCACCAAATGTGTTTTTTAATGTGGTAATCATTTTGAGTCTTATTTCAATGTGTTTGCAGGATGATAAAGCGTTCACAACAACACTTAATCTTCGACTGTATGGGAACCGGATGGTTGGAGATGAGCAGTACCAGGTGTCTGAAACCTGCCAGTACACTCCCTGGGCCTCCAGGGAAATTGTCTGTGACCACAACTTTATGGAGGCAAGTGAATGCAGCAGGACTCTCAGGGGTGATGTTGCAGTCTATATAAGTGGCTTTATTTTCCTCATATGAGCATCAATGCTGGTACATTTGCTGTCTCTGCAAAGGGGAGAGTCATTATCACTTATTGAGTGGCCTCATTTCTAGGTGTCTGTGAAAAGGGCAACTCATGATGATTATGCGCTGCCTGAACATCCCATGCCAGGAGATAATTCAAACTTTGGTGATCCTCGACGAGCTGCCGAGGTTTGATATGCTCACTTGTCTTATTTTAATATTCTGAGAACACACATTTTCTGTATTTTATGACATGTCCTGACATTTGCCTTGCACAAACAGCCCATAGACGCAGGATTCATGATGACAAGGCTCATCTTCTTCTTTCCTGAGGAGAAGATTATGACGGTGGCCGAGGCCCAGAGAAGTGGTTATTGGATAGCAAGCACTGCTTCAAGGCTGGTTCTGAGAAGTCCAAAGACTTCACCTGAGACGTACCCCCAGAATGTAAGTGGACTGGACTGCAGTTCACTAAATTTCAAACGGCCTGATTTGCAATCTTCCCCCTCAGGCAGCCTCTGGTTAAATTACTTGTAGTCATTAGATGACTCACTACTTGCTTACACTTGCAACCAGTAAACTATTCGATTTAGCTCAAGTAATGTAATCAGACTGCTTTTAAATGGATTACTTTGTCTGAAATCCAGTTGGCAGAGTTAAATCCATTGATGGGCTCCTTATTTTATATGCATCCCCCCCATTATGTTGAATTATCTTTTCTTCCTGCAATATCCATGAATACTCTGTCATTAGATGGATTAAACAAAGCATTTATACATAATGATCTGTAACCTCGTCCCGCAGGTAGCAGGAATGGCCATGACTGTGCTCAGAACCTCTGTAATATTTGAGAAGAAGTGGCTGGCGACTCAAATCGATGCAGCAGTGGCCTGCCCAACACTGGAGGGTAATGAACATGTTTTGAGAACAGTAAGCCGGGTCGTAGCTTCCACTGAGGTCATGTCTTTTAGGATTTACTCTGGGGAATTTGGGGTTTTAGCAACTGGGAGTTTACAGTCTTGCACATGGTGGGTATTTTTATAGGCAGATTCCAGTATTTTGTTTGATTTTAAATATATTCAGATTTGACCTCCCTGAAACCTCTTCGGCTAGAATTTGTATCCTGGCAGAGTGGAAAAGATCACAAACGGCACACAAATTAACCAGAATAGGAATAATTTGCTATACACTTTCTTACTGGGTTAAAGTGATGCCACACGTGTCTGTAGAACCAGCAGCTGGTTAACTTATCGTTAAACAGTTATCCTGGCCCTGCACTTTGCCAAGAAATATGGTTTGTAAAACTACAAATTGCCATCCTTACACTTCAGATCTTGTACAGTTTAAAGCTCACTAATAAAGAGGTTGGCTCATTTGTTTTTAGAGGTGCTGGCTGGTAGATTTGTTACCTTTTTGCCAGGTAACTGTTTCAGAGCTCAGTGTCTCCTGTACTTTCATATTTAACAGACACTAACTCTCAGCATGGAGGCAAATGAGCACCCATCATGAATTAACTTTAAGTGAATATAAAACAAATATCAAAACTATTAAACTTTAATTTGTTGTCATGACTTCAGTGTCTAACCTTGCTGGTTATAGATAATATAACCTATAGATTGTTAAATATATCCGTGTTGGGTCTTTTCTAAGTGCTGTATTTTGCCATTTGTGTACAGGTAGTGTTTCCTTCACTGATGACACAATCCAGTGGTTCCTGCCCAGGCACATTGACCCTCTGATTTCCTCTGACCACTTCAAACTGTTGGAGGTGCACATGGGAGTCGATGGCCAGAGGCTCGACGATGCTGAAATGGCTGCCAGACAATACACTCTGTTGGTTGACATTTACATTGTTGTTGAAATTCCTGTTGGTGCTGTCGGTGGCCACTTCAAGGTTAGTGGAACACAGACTTTCTTTTTTTAATATGAATTAATGGATTTTGTCATTGGAAGATTCGCAGTTCATATATTAAGCAAAATATAGATGTGTGCATACATTTAATTGCCAAAATAGACAAGACTTGTATATCTTTGAACACATTCACTATATACACATACAGTGGAGAAATTGAGTAAATATTCATGAGATGGTCCATCTTGCTGTCTACTTCATGCTTTTGAGACAGTTAAACACACCAAATCTAAACCACTATCATTTGTACACCAGGATATTTACAGGTTTTGTGAGCTTTTTCATGGAAAATTTAACTCCTTAAATCATAGTGTCTCACATTTGAGTCCAACTTAACACAACTCTTGAAGAATAACAGTTCTGTGCAAAGATTCAGGGCCAGACTCTTAACATGCAAAGATGTCCTTAAATCTGGGTTTACAAGATGGTGACCTCATTAAGCGAAGGCCTCACTGGGGATATTTGATTTTGCAGAGCCACATACAGAATGATCAGTACCTCACTACTTACACGATTGAGCCGATGCTCGAGTTGCTGTGGACTGAAGAAGACAGTCATGAGGACACGAGATACAAAGTCCTCTTTCCCATCACGACACCGTTACAGTTTCGACCTCCGCAAATTCTTGATAGTGAGTCTTATTTTCTTGGTACTGTGATTTCATAAAAAATGCAGTTAAT